ATATATATATATATCATATGCTGCATCCCGTGCGCCAAGCAAAAGAGCCTCTAGGGGTCTGTGACAGTGATTTGTAGGGTGAACAAAGCTCCGTCACGGATGATTCCTTCCTTCATTTATTCGTACCTCATGTTCTCTCACTTCGCATGAGAATTACTCTTTCCTATGACAACGAGGCACCGACAAGAGTTGCTAGTTTAAAGTTGTCTACCATGACGATCAAACAATGCGTTTTGAACTTTAGCAAAATTAGGGATGTATCACCAGACTTCGTTGTGTAAAGATTTGACGAGTCTTTTTAAATCACCAAGCTGTTCACATTCTTCCTCACCGAAGACTCCTACATTCCTATCGGTGTTTCAGATACTGCTTACTACTTCGACAGTCTGAACCGGATGATAAACGATGTCTCCTAAATTCCACACCAGTCAAGTCAAGAAAAAAACTGTAACCAAATTGCAGCCTTATCCCGTCAAGCTGGCTTGTAGTCTGCAGAGACTACGTCTTTTTAACAACTTACAAGCCATGTTAGGGGTGCGTGATTCCATAAAAGTTTGGGGTGCAAACCTACCACGCTTTGACATACTAGATTGGCATCAGCTAGGTGTACGAAAAGCAGAACTACACAATCAACATTCTTATCTATGCACAAGCCATAAGCTCAACGAGTATCGCGGGTGTACACTATTTACTTTAGAATTTTGTGGTACTCATTTGATCAGTAATTGATCAATGATTACCAATGAATGCACCCGAGCAACCAATATTCCAATATTACCAACAAACTCAGTTGAATAAGAATGTTCCGGCTGATACGGAGTGCAGAAGAGCTCTCTATCCAGAAGCACGTTACTTCACTGTCGTCTCAGGACCCAATTTTCAGTTGTGCAGTACGGCGTTGTATTATTATGGGCGCTTTTGATTAAAAAACGGTACTTAATGAGAGGACCGGCAGTGATCCCCGCTTAACGCTTTACCACCCTCATACCAAGTTGCCGCGATCCCCAACTTGGATGATCTCGATTACTTGATTAATCTCCCAATATCCTTCCGGAACTACTCGAATTCACAGAACCATCCGCTGATGCAAAACTCATTCAACGTGCGCCTGAGTAGGTCAAACAGATTGCCAATATACGCAAAACTAGTCTGAGAAGCGTATCCATTGGATGTGAGGCGAAACATTACCTTGTACGGGACGAAATGTAGGTGCGACAAGCTATCCAACTTCTCAAAAAGTTCACGCATTTCAGCTTGTATTGAATTTTTCACGGGATCTTCTTGCTCTTTCTCCAACAACTAGAAAACCGTATCTATCAAGGACCCCGAATGCTTACATTTTTCTTCGCAAACAAATTTTCATAATCCTCAACAAGGGACTTTTGTTGTGCGGTTATTGGAACAGCCTGGCCGGTACTCTGGGATGGCTTTTCTTTGCATTTAAATACCGGGCTATCAAAAGACTGAAGGAGCATTGTTTTGAATGAAAGAACGATGAACCTGTTCTTTAATAGCTTTTTTGATGAATTCCAAAATTTTATCCTCGTCGGCAGGAGGGGGCTCTACAAGGTCATTTTCATTAATATGAGCGAATAATCCTTACTGAATTTCCCATGTCGTTGAACGTCTAAATATTCTTCAAGGACAGTATTCTCTGCTCGATCTTGAGCAACGACTTCTCCTTTTAGATACCACGGTTTGTCATCCAACATCCGTTGTTCTAACCGCTCTGTCTCCATTTCCAGCTAAGAAGAGCAAAAATTGGAAGCTGACAAGAAGGTACTCGTACTTGCTCCTGGAGAGTCTCGAACTTAGCTTTCGGACCGGAAGGCTTTGACTACAATGAGTATAAATATTACGCTTACCTGCTTCTTCACTTTGGCAACCATCTGGTATGGAACGTTATCTGCAAACAGGGAAAACAAGCAAATTTGGTATCAGGAAGATAAAGTATGGAGCTAAACTAATGGTTTATTTTGTTCTGTTCAGTACGTTACGTTTTATGCCGACGGGACGCTGAGGCCAGACGTTACGGTTTTTCTCACCTGTGACAGGAAAAATGGTGAGGGGATGGCGACGCATACGAACCAACTGTCAAGCTAATTCGGTAATGCTGGGTCGCCTTTTGTTCTTTTGGTGAATTGAAGACTCGGACAGCCATGCACTAAGTGCGAGGGTTAGCATAAAAGCACCGCCAATTATATGACTGGGACATAATTGTCACCGTCTGACTCGAACTCCTGAAATCTAAATCCAAGATAACCGCAGTTGACAATGCGACCATTCCAATAGTAATGAAGTTGTTAGTTTGCTCGGGAGACCAAATTCCTCTGACAAATGTTCGAAAAGCGGTCTAGATATAGCTTCTGTTCATTCGAGCATGAGCCCGGAAGTTTAGTTGAAAGCTGTTTGCAGCCGTGGCTTGGGAGGACCACGCTGATGTATACCACGGTAGTGTGGACCGGTGGCACTCAGAAATCTCAGATACATCATCATCATCATCAACGACAGCATGACATCAGTGCTCAACACCAATGCTTCACTGCCGTACAGCCATGACTTATTTGAAAGCCTTATTGTAAAGAAAAGAATAAAGGTGGATGGGGGAGGGACTTAGTGCTAGCTTAACACAATCATTCCGAGGTGCCTACACCTCCAGACATTCATTCAGGCAATCTGGACAGAAACTGACAACAAGAACGCCACTGACAACGGTTGGCAGCCATATCTTGTAGTGTCTCCAACCAGGCACAATGAGGATCATAGCAGCTAGGCACCGAGAGGGTGCTACAGCTGAACGACTAATTTTATTTTTTTCACATCTGTAAAGTGACAAGGGCTACTGCAAGACTGAATGGGCTCTGGACCTAACCTAATGCTTGTGGATGAGCCGATTGCGGTGGTAGACAAGTTTGTTTGCGTGGGCGAGATACATCAGTGCTTAGAGCGCGAATTTACTGACCGGAAGGTCTGTGGTTCGAACCCGACCTTTGCCTCTCGACTTTTTCCGTTTAGGCCTGAGAAACCTGGCAGCATCCCAGCCCTTGTGCTTCTTTCAGGTGGAACAGCAGTTAGGCACTGAAAGGGTGTTACAGGTGAACTATTTTTTGTTTTCGTTTACCTGAGCAGTTGTATCAGTCCCACTGGTCTCACGAGATACGATATTTCCATACGGATGGGGAAGGCCAGAGCAGACTTCGTGAGCCTGCATCACCTGTGGTGTAGGCGGAATATCAGCTTATCCGTCAAGAGTCGAGTTCACAATGCTGTGGTGCACTCGCACAACCACGTGAAGGGTGAAAGAGAGCCAGAGGCGGCCAAACAATGACTCGGCAGAAAGTATAAAAGTCATTACCAGCATACTCAGTTGCGCTGGTCACTGACGTCTTCCTGGACGGGGACCCCGAGACGGGCCACATCAATGGTTAGAGATATTGTCAGACATGGCCCAGTCGCACCCTCAGTGGCGCTCATTCATTCAAGCTATTGCTTTCAATGCATTGCTCCCTTTCCAATTCCCCGCCTAACAGTCCACTGACAGTCCCGTACCTACGCACCAATTTATCAGCCCCCGTCTCCAATGCGTAGCAACCTACCCCACCTGCCCAAATCATCGGTGAACGAAACTGCGGCAGCTACAACCACTGTGCGACAAGCAAACGCTTCTTATAGCTGATAATAATAAAGATGATGGTGTCCGCGCGATACTCGCAGAGCCTCATACTAGATCGGCCAGTGGTTAGAGGTCTGACGAACAGCCTTCTGGTCCTCCAGGTTGGGAGTTGGAAAGTGTGTGGCGACGTGCATTTCCAGCCAAACACCGCTGCCGTGCCGTCAGGCTTTCGAGCCAAAAGCTTTGGTTGAGGACCCCAAGCGTCCTGGGCGAGATGACCCAGGTGGTTGGAGCGCGAATTTACTGACCGGAAGGTCTATGGTTCGAACCCGACCTCTGCCTCTCGACTTCTTCCGTCTATGCCTGGGCAACCTGACAGTATCCCAGCCCTCGTGCTTCCTTTTGGCGGCATGACAGCTAGGCACTGAAAGGGTGTTACGGTTGAACGACTGTCTAACGCTCCGGAAGTTTGTGAACATAATACGTTCTCTGTATTCTCAGACTTCCGGACGTGTGAGAGCATATGGAGAGCTCTCCAAAAGCTTCCATACACAAAGCGGTCACCATAAGCAAAGCCCTCTCCCTCCATTCCTATTTAATTTTGTGATCGATAAAATAATGAGACGAGTGCTGGAAGGTCTTCAAAACCTTGAATGGCCCCTGACGAAAACCTTGTCGATCTGGAACATTCAGACGATATCGTTCTCGTCTTAGAAGAGGAGGCTCAGGTGACCACAGTCATCTAGTTCTTCGGTATGCACTTTGCACCCATAAAATGTAAGGTGATGCTCACTAAAAATGTCATTTACAATGCATGGGGAGGCACTCGAAGTTATGGGGCGTTTCACATACCTTGGAAGTTGTACTAGTCCTGATAGTGGTGTGCATGAATCTGCACACCTCGGGTCACGTTTGCTAAGTTGAGACACATATGGTAGAGAAGCGATGTATCCCTGAATCTCAAGAGACGTGTGTATCAGGCTACAGTACAGGCTGTTTTGCTGTATGGCTGTGAGACTTGCCCTATTCGACAATCGTTGTCTCAAGACCACAGCTCGTGTGGGTTGGTGTCGGAAAATCCGTAACGAGGCAATTGGAAAGCGAGTTTTCGGTTGTGCAACGGGAACTTCCATGTGTCCAGCACCAAAAGCTGTGTTGGTTAGGCCATGTATCTGCGAATGTTTTCAGAAGATAGTGATTTTTTCAGTGCTCAAATTAGAGTGGCGCAAGCAGAGAGGTGGCCAATCCTTCAGCTGGCGATCGATCGATCGTTAGGCTCTGGCACCCTTTCGGTGCCTAACTGCCGCGCCACATGAAACAGGCACGAGGGCTGGAATACTGGGATGATGTGCTTGTTGTCAGTTTCTATCCAGCTTGCCTGAGTGAGTGTCTGGAGGCGTAGGCTCCTCGGAATGATTTTAGTTAGCTAGCGCTAAGTTCCTTCCCTATCCACCTTTATTCTTTCCTTCGCAATGAGGCTTTCATACACATCATGGTTGTACGGCAGCAAAGCATGGATATTGAACAGTGATGCCATGCTATCCGTGATGATGAAGATGTAGCTGCTAAAGACGTTTCATTGTCCAACTAGCTGCGAAGTTGAAAAGCCTTGCAGATCGCAGACAACCTTACTTGAGCGCTCTCATTTTCTCATCATAAATCCGAATGTGAGCTTTCGGACATGGAAGATGGGCCTGATGTGGGCTTTCAGAACCGAGTCAAACGCTGCTCGGCAACCTGTGAAGCAATCCGTAGTAAGCCGCTGGAGTTTGAAGTGATAATGCACCACCCGATTCCTGTTCTCTCCTGGAGACTTTCTGGTTATAAGAATAATAATTTCAATCAATTCACAGGTAACGACACAGTGAGCGAATGACCGTGACTAAAGTGTGAACGAAATTGTTTGATTCCCTATAGTGAGCAGTGTCACTACTAAATTAGCGCTTCAAAGGTAGACGGCAGCCAAGCATTAGTGTTGTTGGTGTCGTGCTGTCCATGATGATGAAGGATTCGGATCGACAAGACTCTTATCAGCAACGATTCGAACACCAAGGCTTGGAAGACCTTCCATCGTCCACTTCATTATTTCATCGCTGTCGAACGGGAGTCGGTAATGGACAATCTAGTCGGACACCACTTTTTATAAGAAACTTCTGGAGAACTCACAATACACTCACACGCCAAGAAGTATTTGAATACACGGGGCTGATTATGTTAGGACTTTTGACGCATACCCTTTTCAACAAATATGGTTAACACTGAATGATCGGCAGAATAGAGCGCACTCTTGAAGTTGAGGAATACCAAGATTGTTGGCCGCTTATCCATATGACGTTGCTTTCGCACCTTACGGCTAAAAGGCCGTTTGGTGCTCACGGGACAAGGATTCTCATGCTGCCATTAGCCAAAATGACCCCGTTTTGAAATTGAGCACCGTTCAATCCATTAACTTGTTAGCTACAAACCATGTACCTTAGGCACATTGGTTCCAATTACTACGGTTTCAATGACCGAGAAGTGAGAGAATCTGGGACATACAGTCAGGCCTTGGAGGCCATGGCATGATTGGTTAGTTCGGGAACTAGGTAGCTACGCATTGGAGGCGATAGCTTTGATACATGAGCTTCACTGACTGCGCGGTGGGGCCATTTCTGCCAGTGACATTAACGATGGTTAAATTGAATCCCGTGGTCCCCCATACAGGGAGGGGGGAGCTGTCGCCCCGAGTGACGCTACATCATTTTAGGAACTCTCTCACGGTGGGTGATCTTCCTCGGTTAGTCTTTTTAATACATGCACTTCGCAACTCAAAAGATAGCGTTGTAAAGCTTCTTTAACCCAATCCTTTGCTGTGTAAGCGAC